TTTTTTTTTTTGTGCTTCTTTTGTATGTTTAGCTTGGATAACCACTTATTAGTCGACATTGGCTGCTCTTCCGGTTGTTGATTTTTAAGTCCTCGGACACACACTTTTTCCTGCTTTTTCTGTTGTTCTCATCTAATCAGTTTGTTCGGCTACAGGTGGATTAACAACAAACTTCTTTTTTTTTTCGTCTACAATTTTAAAATAAAAAGCCAGGTGGGTTAAGGACTGTGCGGTGTAGGTTGGGGAAACCTGTCAAAATCATTCTCAACTCTGCTGCGCTATTCTCCTCCTGCAGTTCCTTTAAGACTTCCCTTCGCCAGCGACCTGTCATTAAAAGCAATTATTAACTGAAGTTGTAGTCAGAAAGGCTACAAAATCTATATTTCCTCTTGTAAAATGCACAGGCTGCTCAGAAATCTTGTTGCACTATAGAAACTTCAATAGTTTAAAAAAAAGGTTTCAGTAAAAAATTTTTATGTCCTTCAACAATTACTTTTCTTCGTTACAGCTGCACGGATTTCCACTTTTCAACTTTACAACCGGCAGAAGTTATGGTTCTGTAAACCTGACACTTTATATATGTTTTTACATAGATATCTTTTTTTTTTTGAATGTAAATCAATACTTTTGTATATACAGCATATATATCTATTTATTTACAAGTAAATGTTTCTTCACATAAATATATAAAATAATTATAGCATTTTATTCAAGTGTTATGTAAAACTGGTACATAATATTACTGCAATTTATATGTTATTTAATTTTGACAGATTACACATATAATTAACATATTAGCATATTAGACTTTGTAGAAGTTTATTTTTGATTTTGAATCGTTGTCTTAAATTAATATTCGAAAAAATTTTTGACACAACGGCATATGAAATGTAGATATTTGTCAATTGAAATACCAGGGCTGTAATTAAGTTGAAGTTGTCTCAAGAAAAGTTTGCAGAATTTTTTTTTTTTTTTGAGAAAAGCACTTGATTTAGTGCAGCATTTTTTGTTGTAAAAAAATTCTTATTTTTTATATTATTTATAAACTTTATTCTAACTTCTCCACTTATTTTTACATTTATTTTTGTTTTTTTTTTTAAATTTTATTTGGCGATTTTTAAAATGCAATGAATGCTGATTGATATTTTAGGAACTGTATGTTGATGTGCTAAGAAATATTGAAAATTCAAAAAAATTGTTGTCTGGAGAGCTAAATTTTGTTGTTCACTTTGGCTTCAACTATCAAAATTGTCATTTGGATAGAATAAAGATTTGGTTAGTTTTGTAAACAAAAACTGAAACATCTTTTAGAATACTGCTGAAACTCTCGTAACAAAAGATGCTTGAAACCTATTCAGCTGAATCAAGTTTGAATCGACGATTTGTAAGTGAAGTCTAAACTTTGACTGTATACTGAAAAAAAAATACGAATTTTTTTTAGGATTTGCAATGGCTTGACGAAATTTACTCTTAGAATAGGCTACGTGTTCTTTACAGAAGGGAGGTTGCTGTAATGAGAAGTAATGTTACGGCTTGCACTCTTAAACGGTATCTACCGTATTTGCTGTTGCTCATTGGCGCTTTCGCCACTTATGAGTTTCTGAGGAATGTGACTATGACGGAAGAACCAATAATTATTGTACTGACTCCAACGTATAGGCGACCAGAACGGCTTGCTGATATGACAAGGTCTATAGAGTTATCAACCGATTAACCAGTGTTTCAAATTTTATAAGGTTTAAGCAGGGAAAAACAATTGACAAGTTTATACAGTTAATTGTTGTTGTAACTGTAATTCAAAAATACAACTTAAATAAAGTTTCTTTTTTAGATTTACTTCTGATTAACTTTCTCTGAATATCAGTGTCAATCCAATGTTATATTGGGGTTATTAAATTGAAATTAGAAACAGTCATAAAATTTAATGTAGTTAGAGAATTTAGCTGATTTATTTATTTTTTGAATTATTTTTTGTCGGTTATGTTATTTATAATGGTTAAACAGTATTTTAAATTTTATTCGTGTTTTTTAAACAGTGAAAGCTTCTCACGAAACAGTTTTTATTTTCTGGGTCAAAATAATTTTAATTATGAAAAAACTGCAGAATGATTACGTTTACACGTTTTTAAGTACATATAACAGAAAAACTGTAAAATTTTAGTAATTAAACAAATGACGAGTTATAGCAAAAATAAAATTTTTTTTTGTTCACATTAAAATGACTTTTACGACCTACGTGACACCTGAACAAATTTTTAAATAAAATTGAAAATCTCTAAAAATAGTAAAACAGAAGATCTTTTTGAAAAATAAATTTTTTTAAATAAAAATTCTATCAGCTATGTCTGGTTTGTTCTTTTTTGTTTAAAATATGGCATAAGTATAAATTTTAGAAAACAAGCTACCTAAAGTATAAGGTAAAACTTAGCTTTAGTCAAACAATAATAATAAAAAATTCAGTCTGTAACTGTGAGGTGTTTCTTTTCGTTTACAATAATTGATTAATCAGTTTCTCTATATTTGACCATTGTACTCAAAGAAAACTGAATTGTTAAGGCTGATTCTGGAATATTCCAAGTTATAATCTTGTCATTTGTTATACTTATTTTTGCAGATTTGCGCAAACCCTATCGCATATTAAGAGGTTGCATTGGATTGTTATTGAAGACGCTAACCATACTGTCGATGCTGTGGAACGAATTCTGCAGAGAAGCGGTTTACCGTACGTTTATTTCCACGCTACCACGGAACCTGGTTTTCCAAGTTAGCCCTAGTGTTTTTTCGGTTTCCCCTAGAAGTTTAGTATCAGGAAGAAGGCAATTGCCAACACTGAGTATCGTAAACAACCAAGCGCAGGTGCACATTGTCGTCTCCAAATAAATGCTTTGATATATTAATGCTTTTTTTTTCTTTTATAGAAAGAGGTTGGACTCATCGAAATAAAGGACTTGCTTATATTAGAACAAAATATCGCAATTACAAACATCCAGGAGTAGTCTATTTTGCAGACGACGACAACACTTATGATATTCGTTTGTTTAATAACTATATTCGAAACGTTAAAAGTATTGGGATATGGGCTGTAGGTATGCCATTAATCTCTGGCTTTCAACCATAAATAAATTTTTTCAAAACACTACCTGATTTACTAGTATTTTTATGTTAAGGCTTGGCAGGAACTGCCTTAGTTGAAGCTCCACACGTCGTCAACGGAACTATTGTTAGTTGGGATGTGGTCTATGGTCCCACGCGACCATTTGCCGTTGACATGGCCGGATTTGCAGTAAATCTTGACTTGATTCTTCAGACGAAGTTAGTATACATTATGAAATTTTGTTTCTTTTACAATTTTGAATTGGAAAACAAGAAGTCGCTTAAGTAAATCTTGAAATTGTGATTCTAGGTGTAAAGAGTGTTTATCTGAAAATTAAAAAAAAAAAGATTGAATTTTTCACATTAAGCAGTTTTCTTATTATAAAATTCTTTTGATGAATTGCTTGTACAATTTCAAGCTCAATAACTTTTTGCAATTTTTCTGCAGAAAATACTGTTTCATTTGTGCTTTTTTAATGTTGCCTTTCTTTTTTTAACTCTTTATCAGAAAACATCTACTTTTTATTATATTTCGTAGTTTAGAATTAGGAATCTTGCATTAAACAGTTAGGAGAAGCAAAAAATAAATTTCTTCTCATTGTTTGCTCGTTTGAAAAAATTATAATAAATGGTTAATCTTTTTTTTCTTCAAAATTAAAATTTAAAATATAATTCTATATCTGAAATTAATGTAAAACAAAAGAGTAAAATTAATGCTTTTAGTGCCAGCTTTCATCGTGGATGCATTAAAACTGTGCCAGAGTCGTGTTTCTTACAACAATTTGGTATCCCGAAGGACAAAGCCGAACCCTTCGGATACGATGATGATCCAAAAGAAATTCTTGTTTGGCACACTAAAACGCGTAACATTGGCATCAGAGGTGGGAGGCATGGCTATGTGATCGAATAGTAATTGCTCTTAGATATGGAAAAGCGTGTTGCAGTTTCAATACTTGAAACAGTTCAACTGGGTTAACAAATGCGGGTACTGTTTGGGAATTTTTGGAAACAGGTTATTCTGCGTGTCTTTCGTCTCACAGTGATTATCTGTTTTAGAAACAAATGGCAATATGATAGCTATTTATTTGTAATTTTTGTTTCGCATTTTCAAGAAATATAGCGATAGGCTACAACTAAAAAATACTCATTGTAAAAGTGTCAAAGGTTACTTTGAAATCAACAAAACTTTAGCTTAACAAGAAGAGATTGGAATACTGTAAATAAAAATCAAATAATTTTTTTTTGAAGTTTTTTGGTTACACTTTTAAAAAAGAATCTTATTAATAGTATTGTTAATAAAATTCAACAAAATTTTTGCTTTTTTCTTATTTAAAATTGTTTTCAAAATATCTGTAACTGGCTAAGACAGTGTGTCAACCATGTGACTCTAGAAGGTTCACTAAATTGACTGAAGCGAAAGGTGACTGTTATTAAAGAAGTAATGCATAAGTTACGTTAAAGACTAAGCGTTTTGAGTGATGCTGTTTACCAGTATTTTTATACCGCTAAAAGGTGCAGTATCTTTATTAATTTCGCTGCTGACACTTTTTAGGTTTCCAAATCAAATTATTAATATTTGTAATTTTGAAGGTTAAAAACATTTCTAATTTTTGAAAACAAAAGTTTCTTAAATTTTGTGAAAAAAATTTTTTAAGAAGTTTTATTGTGCAAATTATACTGTACAGATAATGAAAAAAAAAAAGTTTTGTAAGCTCAAAAAAATATTTCCGGTGAGTGCTTTGTCTAAAAACGTCAAAAGAACTTGTTATTCTATAATTCTATAGACGGCTATAAATTTTATCATTTTCAGTCATGATGCAGATTCATCAAGAAGCAAGCTTAATTTTTTACTCTATAGTCTTTCATTTGATTTGCCAATATCTGATTTTGATAATCTTCGAAAATGTAGCAGCTTTTTAAAGATAGATAAATTTTTTTAAGTTTCTGACAATTTTGAACAAATGTCTAAAATTTTTCTTATTTTGGTTATGATGCTACTATTATCAATACTCCAAACTTTAACAGTTGCTGTGATTCAATTTATGTCTCAACTAATCGTCTATTACGTTATCAGTTGCTGCCCAATTTATTTGTACAAAATGTTAACACTGTTTCCACTTTGTTTTCATTTCTTCTGCAGTAAATGATTGTTATATCAATTCTTAGACATTTTTGATGTCAGAAACAGCAATAATCTTTTTTTTGTAAATAAGGAAGAAAATTTTTTGAAATCTTATTGAAGTCCTTAATACCAATTGGTTAAAATATGTACAGTTGAATGAATTCTTAAAATAAAGCTTACAGAATTCATTTGTTTCTTTCACTTAAATCTTCTCAAAAGCTTACTTTCATAAGCTTTACTAACAGTAATAATAATCGAAAAAGTTTTTTTTAATTTATCTTCTGCTAAGCAAACTTTCTGAACAATTTTTTAGAAGCAGATTTATTTTGCAACTACAAATGATGTAAACTATAAAACAGATAGATACTGTTTTGACTACAGACAACGTTAGTAAAAAAACAATTTTTGCGCTCATTATGAGGTATTTTTATTTGATATATATTTTGCATTTATGACAAAAAAAAAAAAAAAAAAAACAATTGGACCAGAATGGTTATTTGAACTGAAATTGAATTGATTTTGAAACGATTTGATTATTTTATTGAATTTTTTTTTGATGAAATTAAGGTAAAATAGTTATTTAATCTAAACTTCCGACAGGAAACGTATGAGGTTTTTATTTTATTTGAGCTAAAATCTATTGCCTTTAATATTTTGTTGATCAATTTTATTCTTATTCTCTGAGTGAAATATATCGGAAATGATACTCGTCAGGAAATATCTGAAATAACTGTGCAGGAAAAAAACGATTAAAGCATATTACAGTAAGGATCAGCAAATAGAGTTGCCCCTACTTTGTTTCACATATTTAAACTACAATTTCTGTCAACTATTTATGGAAGTATTCATAACATTTCTTTACAACTCTTATATATAGTGAATTATCTTATTTAACTATAGTGAATAGCGACAGAACTGTTTCTAATAATGCACATACACTGTATAAGATCATTTGAAAAACAACTGCAGGTGTTTCCTGTTAGAACAACGATTGAGACGCATTTTTTTTTTTATAATCTGGACAGGGGTTAAATTATTTTTGCTTCCTCTGAATGTTCATCTAAATCTTGTCTAAAAAATCAACCAGAATTGTTTCTTTTCAAGAATAAACAAAGTGAATACTTACTGTAATCAGTATTATTTGCAATTAATGACAGATTTATAATCACTAAAAATATGTAAAAAGTTCTTGGTATTGATATTATTCAAATTTTAACAACAGTTAAATAGACTTTTACAGCTGCTCATATTCCAGCTAAAACTATTAACACACCAATAAGAATATAAAAAGGCGAGAAAGAAGAAAAAGAAGGAAAAGCAAATACACCAGAAAATTTGAAATTCTATTCTGTAAAACAAGCACCGCGCAACTGCTACAGTGAAGAGTGTGACCAGAATTTTGAATTACATTGTATGGTACCTTGCTTCAAGTTCGGTTCTGAAGAACCCAATAACATGGCTATATAATTTGCATATATATGTCCAACTTTTATTTTTAATTCTTTAATAATCATTCAATAAAAAAAGTATTCAGTTTTATATTTGTTTTATCTCTAAAGTTATTTTTTTTTCTTATAAATTTACGAAATTATCTGAGAAAAAAAACGTTTGTAGCAAATTCAAAAATTATTATTTTTGTATCTTTCAAAATTTTCCCAGGCCTCAGATGCCTATTTTTGTCCGATTAAGTGATTCAAAAAAGAAAACAATTTTTAGTACTTTTTCTTTTTGTTCACTCAAATGTTGCACATTAATTTAGAATTTTCAGTATTGATTTAAAAAAAAGTTGATTTAGTTTTTTAAAATACAATAATGCGTTTTCTGTAACTTTAAAGATCTTACTGACCAGATTCACAACAGTTTTCTAAATAACAGTAACTCTGGATTACACGGAATGTGATAATAGTATATGCTCATGCCAAAATTATGTTATAATTACAATGATTTGCCAGCGACCTGTATATCATCTGTTCAAAGCACACTTATTAATCCAGTTTTCCATACTTGTTTTAAATATTTCATCTTTACTAAACTTAAAATTTAGTCAACAGTGCCTTGAAGCACCTACATACAACAGTAAAATTATTTTAAAAAAGAAATTTGAAGGTAAATATGCTGATATATCAACTGAAAAAGATTTTTTGAGTTGTTTTTTACTGGTATATGTTTTACTATAGTTGTCTCTTAATCGTTGTTCTTGAATTTATTGGCACATATAGGCAAAAAATATATATTGCTGTTAACTCTTCTCCATTTTTTTTCTCAAGTCATCTGCTGTGAACAGAAAACAATGGTTTTTAGACACAACTCGCTCTCAAATAACTCAGTAATACAGGCCAGGAAATTTAGCAAAGGAAAAATAACGAAAAAAACCGTTGTCTTTTTGCTTCTTTGTAAACTATCTTTAAGTATGAAAACTTGTTCAACATTCAAAGAATGTCGTCAAATAAATGCAGGTAATACATGTCCGAAAAGATGGCTTAAATAGGAATGTTGTGCTGTCACTAATTTTGCTGCATTTGCGCTGCAGAGCACTGCACTGATGCAGTTGAAGAACCAGACAATCAAAGAAACCTTTTAAACGAAAAGATAGGACTCGAAGTCAAGCGATGATGACAACTTTGACCAGACTTACATAGCAGAATCTAAATTTTTTTAATAAAAAAAAACGTGGTTTACCAGCTACTTTTGTGTCTCATGAGCACTGTCACTTTGAATAACAGCGTAATATTCCTTTGTTTTAAATTTGATCTTTTCCATAATTAAGTGTGTCTTTGGTACCCGTCAGATCCCATTCACAGAAAAAAAAAGGCAGGAAAACAAGTAACCCTGCTGCTTTAGGGGAAGTTGCCTGTGCTGAACTCCCGTATTGGTGAACTAATAAAACGGAAACTGAGAAGCACTGTATCGAAAATGGGCATAGCTCAGTGGCAGAGCATTCGACTGCAGATCGAGAGGTCCCCGGTTCAAATCCGGGTGCTCCCTGCTGTTTTGTCGCTACAGCTAATGTGCAAGCCTTCAACGGTGATGTTGAGCCGTAAATTTGCTATGCCTAACCCAATTTCAAAACATTACAGTCTTTTCTTTCTCTGCAAAGATTGCAATAAAGCTTTTATTAGCTCGATATTGACCTTAATCAGAAATGTCCACTTCCGTATCAAACGACGGCTTGCGAACGAATTGCGGCGATTAAACTGCATAGAAGAATTGTGTAGAAAGCAGTTTTTTACAGTTCTTCATACAGCGTTTATTACATTCATTAAGAATACAATTTGTCAAACAATCATTTAGATAAATAAAATTGGAAATTGGCATAAAATATTTAAAAAATTGTCCACCACTAAAATATTGATTCCCTTACTCAGATAGAATTTGATAATATGAGTTTTAATTCACTTTTCATTACTTTAAAACCACTGCTTTGGCAAACAACAATTACAGATACCATACTCGTTAAGCCTTTTTCTACCAAATCACTAAGAAAATTGTTTCTGATTACAAACTTGGCAATTAAATATTCGGGAAAATTGACATCTATATCTCCTTACAACTCTACTACGGCAATCTGCTTCAACCTTAAGCATATCGGTTCATTTCACCTCTCACTCGAACTTTAATAAGACAGTACAAAATCAAACATTGCTAGGTGTGTATCAGTATGATAAGCGTTAAAACAAATAAAGCTGAAATAACAATGTCTAGGGTCATCAATTTTAACAGATAAATAAAGAGTTAATTATTTTATATAACAAAAAAAATTCATCAAACGAATAGATCTTACAATTAATATTACATTTTTTACCCAAATGCTTTGTTTCTTGACTTCTTATGCTTTTATCTTCCGGCCTTTATCTGATGGTTGTGAACTTTACTGCATGTACTCTTCATTGCGGCAAAAAACTGTAGAGCTGGGTATTCACAAACTGAACTGTTGTGAAGTTTATGAAAAACAGATAAATGAAACGTAAGCTGTCACAAGAAGCTGACCACTGAGGGCAGTTAGCGATTCTAATTCTATCATACTAACAAGACAATTTGAAATCTTTGTTTTGCATAGACGAATTTATAAACTATTCAAGGTTCTGTTTACTAATTAGCCTTGAATATAATCCTTCGCTGTTCATTAACTCCTGATGTGTGCCTT